TCTACTGCTGCTGCTGTGTGATGCTCTGTTTTACCACAGTGTATTTAGAATTGCTTCTCAGGTACCAGGCACGGTTTTTGAAAATGGTAAACAGGATAAAATTGGTTAATGAGCTTGTTGGAAATGAATGATAATGAGTGAGATGTATTACATTATTACATTATTAAGTTAATATTGCATCAGATTGCCAAATTAAGCTTGTTGCCTTCTTCAAAGCCATATTTCAGATCTGATTGACCAAACTTGGAGTACATGTTTCTATCATCAAGATAATGGGCAATTTTAGTAAAGAGCAAGATTCATGTGTATTGATGAAGTGATCTTTAATTGGCTTTATTATCATTCTGGGCACCATAGTTCCAATCTATTTTTTATTGTTAAGGTATACGTGCTTTCTTCTTTTATATTATTCTTGTGAGCAATGTATACATATAGTAATGAAGGGGTTCCTGTTTTGTCTGTTGTTCATCATCTGTATGCCCATTGACACATGTCTATTATTGCAACTTCTCCTAAACTACTTGGAGGATTGCCTTGAAACTTTACACACATGTGTGTGCCAAGATCTAGATGGTCCTAAATGAAAATTGTGCTGCTTTAAATTTTAATATTGTATCTAAAGTGGGAATCTTAAAATGCCTGTTATTGCCACTCCTTTTGTACAATGGATAGTCAATGCCATCATGGCGTTTCATTAAAAGACTTCTAATGATTTGAAAAAGGAGCAAGCTTTATATTCAATATGGCTACAACTGTAGCTAATTTGAAAATCTTGTTATTGCTTAAGAATATTATATATTCTTTCCAGACTTTAAATAAAGAAATGGTTTTGTACTGAATTCCAAGAAATTGTCTTTGGAATTCTTGTTTTAAAACTTGGAACATCTGCATCTGGCATCAAGGACTATTTGAATAATAAGCAAGGCCCATGGATATTTATTAAGTGATCTGGCACATGATTAGCTGAGTTTGTTATCTACTTTTGATCAGAATTTAAATATGTGCTTATATTATCAGCATCTTGGACAGTTTCAGACTGAGGCTGATGCATGTTAATGAGGTGATCATGAATCTGGATGTCTGTTGAAGTTATCCCTCTCAAAGCAATAAATTTATCTGTCAGCTAAATTGTAATCTGCCTCATCATGGGCAAGTTAAGTTATCAGTAAGAAACCGTGAATATTAAGTATGCCATTGTCTGAAAAAAAGAATTGTTTTACAAATATATTAAAATTGAAACAAAACTGATATGATCTCAAATTTGTGATTTAATTAGTTTACATAGGACATGTTTTGTATAATGCAATATAAGCCTGCTGAATGAAATGGTTAACTGAAATTTTTGATAAATTTTCTTGGACCTCATGGTTTTTATGCCTGAGCAATATTCATATATTTATAAGGTGTCGTAATCTAAAGCTTTTCTACAACACAGAAGACTATTTTTCATAGGATTTTAATTAAACATGATAAACAGGCTCATATGTAAGCAGGATCTTGTTTGATTCTGATTATCATTGAAATTCACATAAAATATTTAATGCAAGTTTTAATTGTTTGGCTGGGCTTGTTATTTTTTTATATCTTTTTTATCTTTCTTTTTCTTGTCATATTTACATCAAATGTGTTAAATATTCTATATTATTAAAATATTGGATGTGTTTGATAAGGAACAAGATCTACGGAAATTAATAATTATCAACTTGATTTGTTTTCTGTATACATGTATTCTACACTGTTGTATGTATATAGGTATGCTACATTATTTAATGTATATAGTAATTCTACCTTTTATCTGTATAATTTGCATTTTACCTTCTTCTCGGCATATATATTCTACTTTACTTTTTTTATACAGGTATTCTAACTTCATTACTGTATATAGGTATTCAACCTTATTTTATGTATGCAAGTATTCTTCCTTATCTCTGTATAAATATATTTCTACCTTATTTTCTGCATATACATATTCTACCTTACATTATATATATATATATATATATATATATATATATATATATATATATATATATATATATATATATATATATATATATATATATGTGTGTGTGTGTGTGTGTGTGTGTTCTATCTTAATTTCCGCATATCTATATGGAATTCTACCTTATTTCTGCATGTAGAAATTCTAAATTGTTTTTTATATATACATGTATGCGTATTCTACCATATATTCTGTATAAAGATATTCTGCCTGACTTTCTGTATATATGTATTCTTCCTTACCTTCTGTACATAGATAGTCTATCTGATTTTCTGTGTAGAGGTAATTTACCTTATTTTTTTGTATATAGGTATTCTAATTCATTTTCTGTTCTTATGAAATCTACCTCATTTTCTGTATATAGGTCTTCCACCTTTTTTTCTGTACTATATGGGTATTCTACCTTGTTTTCTGTACACATATATTTACCTTTTTCTGCATATTTGTATTCTATCTCATTTTATGTTTATAGTTAATTAATATAGACATTTTACCATATTTGTTATATGTATGTATGTATGTATATATATATATATATATATATATATATATATATATATATATATATATATTCTACCTTGTTTTCCTTATATAGGTAATCTAACTTGTTTTCTGTATTCAGTCATTCTATTCTACCATATTTTCAGTAAATAGCTTCTCTACCTCTTTTTCTTTATATAGGTATTCAACATTATTTTTAGTATATAGGTATTCTACCTGATTGTTGGTCACCCTGTGGAACAGGTTTGTTGTTTTCATGGCTATCTATGTTGCTTTCTTGTTGGACAAATTGGTAAGCAATTTGCTGGGTTATGCATGTATTTTACCTGATTGCAGGTCAACTTGAAAAGCAGTTATTCTGTGTACTATATATGCATGCCAACTGCTTACTATATGTGTACTATATGTGTATATAAGTGACTGTGTACTATATATGCATGCCAACTGCTTACTATATGTATACTATATGTGTATATGTGTAACTGTGTACTATATATATGCATGCCAACTGTGTACTATATATGCATGCCAACAGCAAGAATGACCTTACTCTTTGACCTTTCAGTAGCATATTCTTGATTACCTAGTTAATTTGCAAAATAGGGGTTAGCATGTGTGGATCTTCCTCAAGTAGTTTTACAAAATATCTTGCATACATTTTGAGCTTATACACATTAGATAATATTCAGCCAAATTCGACTATTATATACTTGAATGAAAGGTCATATGGCTAGATCATTGAGCATGCAGAATAAAAGCATAGAGATACTATTATAAGTCATATTATTTGTCATTGTTTTTCATATTAGAGGACAGATCATTTGAGAATGCACTATAGATGCACACAACTACACAAATGCATTTGTTATATTGAATAGTCATATGAACATATCATTGATCATGTACACTTGATGTATACATCTAGATTGGCTGTATCATATCATTTGTTATAAGATAAGGTCAGATGCATGAATTATTTATGTTGAACTACGCATAATTCTGTCAAGAATTTCAGCAAGAGAGGCATTCTTGTAATTATCCATTGACTGGTATTTTACAAAATATGTGTACACATACCTAAGATGTTTAAAAAATTTTATATTTTTGAAATTTTATTTTCATTAACTCATTCATATTCATCACTTGTTATTGTTGATTGTGATACATGATACAAAACATGATACAATTAAAACATGATACAATTAAAACAGGATACAATTAAAACATGATACAATTAAAACATGATACAATTATATTTTTTGTAAACAGGTCATGGAAATACTATTTGATTTTTTTTTCATGATAGCTGAATATTTTGTTATTTATGCCTGCAGAATGGAAGATATTATTTAGATTTCCAAGTTCATATTGTTACAGACTTAAACTTCAAATGTTGTTTACTTTAACCGGAAAAGAATTGAATATCTCACCTTCAAGGCACTTTTTAAAAAAAATGAATACCTTTAATGAATTACTTTTTTTGTGGATACTGTTTTTTAATTCCTTTTCCTGCACTATATATATATATATATATATATATATATATATATATATATATATATATATATATATATATATATTACTGTGTTTTGTTTCTAGCTTACATAATGTTATGTATGATATGCATGTACATATGTTTATCTCATATTTTTAAAATTCATTGTGTAACCATCATAATCCAATATTATGTTTTTTATTGTTTGTGTGTCATTTGTTTTCCTTAATGTCAATAATTCCATTTCACATAAATGATAAAATCAAACTGGAAGATAACAAGAAGCAGCTGTTATTGCCATAGTGAAACTTAAACAGATTTGCATTAATTTTAGTGTAAATATCAAACATTTAATTTTAATCATAATTTAATTTGTTCCTGGTCAATTCGGTGTGTAAGCATTTACATTTCGTATTTCAGACTCACAAACTGTTAACATCTGAATGACTTACATTCCATTAATCATACATCAGAATTTTGAGCTGATTTTAATTTTGGGCATGCTAATATTTCTAGATTCCATGCTAAATCTGCCATTTAATTTGCACAGTGGCTATTAAATGTTTGAAGACCTTATGACAGGTGTTTTCTACTGTTATTAGACATGCATGCATGCAGTTATAGCCTAGATGTTAAACTGATAAATGTCTAATCTTCGCTTATAATAATTGTAATCTGTGGACATCATATATTTATCAGGTCAAGGCCTAACTGTTATAAATGTTTAAAGGATAATTTCTAATTGGATTCTAAATTTTGATGACTGTAACTGTAAAGGAAGTTGGATATACATGATGATATCTAAGTCTATTCTAACTATAAAGCTGGATATTTTAGACGCCATAAAACAATAGCAGTAAAAGTAAAATTTTACAAAGTAAAATATCCAAGTGTACTCATACTATAAAATGTGATGACTTTAATAGCCATAGAGAGACATCAGTGAAACATACAGGATGATAAGTGCACTCACAGTCATAGGTTTGATAACTTTATTTGCCAGACCGTGCCAGTGGCCTAGTGGTTAGAGCATCCACCTTGGATATGGGATGTCAAGGTTTAAATCCTAGCTGAGTCATACCAAAACATTTTAAAAAACTGTATGAAAAGCTGCCTTGCTTGGCACTCAACATTAAGAGGTTAGTGTAGGACTGGTCATCCAGGTGTCAGGATAATGTGACTGGCTAGGGCATCATGCCACATGTCTGCAGCATGATGCCCCAGTGCTAGACATCACTATAAACTATCACACTCCAGACATAATAGTGATATGACTGAAAAATTCTTAATGCTACGCAAAAGAAAATTCTAAATCCTAAAAACTTTAATTACCATACAGAGACATCAGTGAAATATACAGTATAAGAAGTGTACTCATATATCTAAATGTACTCAGAATATAAATATTGATTACTTTACAAGATATAGTTGTATTTTCACTTTTGAAATCGTGTTTAATGATCTTTTCTCTGTATACATGTTCACACGTAACTTTAAGGTTTATGCAAAATTCATGAACTCTTAGATATTGTTGGACAGTGTTTCAGACTAATGATTTTACCACAGACTAAATGCTGCTCTTGTTTTTGTCATATTATTATCATTAACCTACTATCTAGAAGCCTGCAATATGATTAATTTCACATTATTACATGATAAGTACTACTTTTAGTTGATGTGATGCAGCCCATTTTAATGTCAGTACTAAGAAACCATCAAAATGGCATGTGCTGCTTTAATACTTTTGACGTTATAACAGTTTTTTGCAGGCATTTGGTAAATGTAATTCGTCATTTGTTCATGCAGTTGTATTATTCTACAATATTTGAAAAGAATACATATTCGATATTGAACATATGCCACAAAATTTCAAGTAGACAAACACATGTATAATACCTCATGTTAATAATGTCAGTAACACAGTGATTGCAGAGTGTAGATGTTGAAATTTAGAGAGACAAACTGGGTAACTCATCATAAAATAATGATAGCTATGGAATGTCTGCTAAGTGTAAATGTTTGCTGGTGAACTTGGGATTCATGATGAAATAATTAGAGTTATGCAATGTTTACTAAGTGAAAATGGAGAGAAAAATGGGTGATTCATCATGCTATAATAACAGCTATATAGTGTTTGCCAGGTCCAAATGTTTTGCCAGTGAACTTGGGTTTCATGTTAAAATAATGATACTTATGCAATGTTTGATAACTGTAACTTATTGCAAGTGAACATATAAAACCATGAATGGTTTATTATGTATTGCTAAGATCTGTATAGTATTTGCTAAATATAAATGCTTGCCAGTGAACTTTAACTTTTAACTAATAATAATAGTTAAAGTGTTTGCCACTTTGGAGAAGAACTGTGGATGATACATCACGTAATAATACCAGTTATACAATGTTTGGTAAGTGTAAATACTTGCCAGTGAATATCAATTTTAACAAATAACATCTTTGCTATTTTGATATGAACTTTGGGTGATTCATCAAGTAGTAATAACATTTATAATGTTTGCTAAGCATAAATGTTTCCGTTGGAACATTAGAGGGACAAACTGTGGATGATTCAACATGAAATAATGACATTTACATACTCTACACTGAGTGCAAAATGTTAGCTAATGAACTTGGAAGGAAAAACTATAATAATAGAATCCGATACAATGCTTGATCAGTGTAATTATTTGCAGTGAATTTAGCAAGGAGAAACCATATATGGTAAATAATATAATAATAACAAGTAATTACATGGATAAGTGTAAATGTTTCCAGATGGATTTTGTAGGAAGAAACTTTGCTTGATTCATCACATAATGATTAAATATAAGTGTTTGCCAGTGAAATTGAGAGACACAAACTCTCATAAAAAATATTTACAAAACTTGCTTAGTACAAATATTTGCCATTTATATAGAACAAAAAAATTTGCTTGATTCATCAGGGAATAAAGGGAATAAAAAAATTAATTTGATAAGAGTGAATATTTACAAATGAATTTTGAGGAAACAAACTTTGCTTGATTTATGATGTAATAATGATTATGCAGTGTTTGATCAGTGGCAATTTTTGCCAGGGAAATCAGGAAGGACAGACTATGTATGGTTAATGATGTAATTATAGCAATTACATTGTTGATTAAGTGTTTCCAGTTGAATTCTGTATGAACAACTTTGCTTGATTAATTTTAGAATAATATTATGCATTGTTTGATAACTGTAAATATTTGCCACTGTTTGAACTTTTCTTATCTGCTAGAAGTTTAAAATGAAATCATTGGTTTGGAGTTTGAGTTTGGATTTTATTTTGTCTAATAGTATTTTAAAATGAAAGTCATTGGTTTCTAATAGAATGCTAAAATGAAATCATTGGTTTGGAGTTTCTCATCTACTATTCTGTTAACATAGAATAATAATTTGGAGTTTGAGTCTGGAGCTCAGAAAGCTTTAAGAATGCACAAAGATGGTTTTATCAATTCAAATGAAAGTAAAATAGTGCTCTTCTAATTGCTATTTGTAGATTTATTTAGTCACAATCTCACCAGAATAGTGATAGCAATGCATAGAAATTGTTGCACTTTTAAATGTTCTTAGTAATTTTTTCAACCACATTACTTAAAGAATATATATATATATATATATATATATATATATATATATATATATATATATATATATATATATATATATATATATATATATATATATATAACCAAGAACAATTAAAATAGTAACAATTTATATGTATCACTGTCACCATTTTGGCAAAAATGTGTCTGACTAAATAAATCTATCAGATCATGTATATAAATAAGAAAATCATCTTGATAAATCTATCAATGTTCTTCATATATTTATTTTGTCACATTGCTACCAAAAGATTGATGCATACAAATTGTATGGTTTTCTAACTGTTCTTCGTAGATAAATTTAATCAGTGTCACTAGAATAGATAAACATATATTTTTTGAATTATAATTGTTCTTGTTGAATTTAAATAGTCACATTGTAACCAGAATAGTGATACATACTAATTGATACTCATCTAATTATTCTTGGTAGATTTATTTAGTCATGCATTTGAAATAAAACAACTTTATTTATTGATGGAACATATGAGAATCATTGTCATTAGTAATTGTGACCTAACCATTTTTGGTTCTTATTTTGTTTAAAATCAATACATATTATTAAAATTATATTTTAAATTTAAGAACAGAATGCAGCATCAGACTCGTGAAAAAACTGTCTTTCCTGGTAATATATTAACATGTTTTGCCAACTTAAATAGATGGCATAAATAAATGTGTCTGTAATGAAAGAATAATCATAAAGTAGGGACATTGCATTCTTTTTTCCTATTTTTGGACTCAATATATTTGGTCCAATAATAAGCAGATAAAATGGAAATCACTGAAATTGATCTATGATTGAATAATTATAAATGAATCATAGATTCGCATTTTCACAATGTATTAGAAACTGAATTATGATTTAATTGAGCTTTGCAAATGCTACTTATTAAATCGCTATGCAACAAATGTAATAAATGTAACAAAAGTAATAAATGTTGATAATGTAGTATTGTTCAATATATTTTACACTGAATTCATGTCAAGATTATTTTTTAATTATATAACAACCCTTTAAAAAAAGACTGAAATTATTTAAAAGTTTTGTCAATTTTTTTAAGGTTCTATAATTTTTAACATAAATTATAAAAACAAAACCAGCCCATCCTGTTATATTGGTTACCCATGACCAATAACCACATTAATTTTGTTTGGTGTCTAAATTAACCAATCTTGAAATCCAATATGGCACCTTTCTGTGTCTGATTATTCTGCAATCAGAAAATCAAATCTGGTAAAATGCATAACACACCCTGTTTTCACTAAATGTCTCATTTAGTTACAATTTTACACTATTTTTCTTTAATGTTGACAGTAACTGAAGGTTTGGCAGATGTAGGAATAATAGAAAAGATTACAAGTGTTTATAAAGTTTCCAACTTGTACAACCAGTAACTGTTTATGTTTTTTTTTTTGTCTATTCTTGACTTATTATATAATAATCCAAGCCTTCCTCAAATCTGATCAAATCCAAATCTAAAGTTATTGAACCTAATCTAAAATTATGAAAACCCAGTTTGAACATAGACATGCGCAATGTTAGGTACAAATGGTGCCTGATAATTTACACCAATTCAAATCTCTGATATTTGTTTGTATTTGAGTGATTTAATTTTATACTGTTAATTATTATATGTGTAATTATGTGTTGAATAAACAGTCTGCATATACATGTTTGTCAGTTGTTTATATTTGTAGATCATTTCAAACACATTCATATTACAATCTCTGAACTATAATATAGTCTTTGCCAATGCATAATATCTGCATGAACATCTTTGTATATTACTATAAATCCCTCCACTTTATCTCTTTCTTAACTATTGGTTTATAACTAAACTTGGAATATGAACTCTTTTATTTATAACTTGGGTGAGATTAATGAGTGAGATGCATATACAATAATGTAAACTTGCATCTGACTGGATGAGGCTGTTACAATTTCACAGGAAAAGTGTTTTCCTGTTTAAAGCTTGGAATTGTGATAGCTCATATTGTAGTATCAAAGGCTTTTATTTCATGGGCCAGGAGTTCACTACCTACCCAGACTGTCTCAAGTTAAATGCTTATGTTTATCCTCGGTGTGGTTGCATAAGCTTTTTAACACGGGCTGTACATTTTCCAAGGTTTCCTAGGAAACCTCGGACACATGTTCCTAGGAAAAACCTCGGAGTATTGGTAACTGACTTTCCGAGGTTATAGTGACTATTTACAGATTAAAACGTTTGATAAGTGTCCAAGGCTTTTATACTAAGATGTCCGAGGTTTCCTCAGACGTAGTCCAAGGTTTCCTCGGACATAGTCCAAAGTGTCCTAGGACATCGTCCGAGGTTTCCTAGGACATCGTCCGAAGTGTCCTAGGACATACCGTCTGAGGTTTCCTAAGACATCCTTCCTTTAGTGCCAAATTTTACATTTCGAAATATCCATCCATTTTGATACATTCT